ATTGTGAATTGAGTGACCTACTTTTGGTTTTAGGATGGATTCGTTACATATATCAATTATAATATATATGGTTGATATTTTGTACTAGGAGTACGGATTTTATATATCTATTATATGTGACATGGTATAAGCCTGAGTCTCAGGACCATGGTTAGGGCGCGTATATCGCCTAGGATGGATAACTGGACATAGGTGTTGTTCCCTGGTAGGTCTAGGTACTCATGCCCACCTTAGGGTGCGTATTCGCATGTTGCCTTCTATTCAGGCTGAGACAGACCTATTGAACTAGCGAGCGTCCTATAGTGTGTACTATATACATATATGGACTACTCTAGATATTGTTGAGTCTTCCTAGGATGTATCTGCGTATCGGATTACTGTTTGGATCGTAGTAGAATAGGACTTGCATGTGGGCCTGACCCACTCCTTTATTTTTTAGGTGTTCGTCAGTTCTAGGGTTAGAGCTTGGACGTGTAGAGCAGATACAGATATTCATTCATCCGACTATGTAGGAATCTTTTCCATGATAGCTTTAGATTTTATTTCTGTCATTTCAGTTTCGGTTTAAGAATTTTAATAAGGGGTCTAATGGATGGATTCCTGAGTTGTAAACTTATGGAGTTTTGGATTATCAGATGTGATTTTAAGAATTATATATTGAGGATTTAATATTTAATTTTTCATTCAGCTTTATACTTTTTATTTCTTAAATCAATTTTGTATTCCGTGTTCACTTTAAAATAATTTAATTTTTTGATATCCCTCGGGTTTGGGCCTGGGCCTGGGCCTGATCAACCCGTGTCTCGGATCCGAGGGGTATCACAATACAACATTAATTCTTCTAAATTAGAATCAAGATCGACTATCCATACATGAGTTAACCCCAATACACATTGCTATATGTACACCATTAACCCATAAACCAACTCCTAAATATCAATGCACCAAAAGAGATAAACATAGTTAGCCTTCCCCAGCGAAAACAAGCAAAAATTCCTCCAAACTTTAACCCAGAAAATTGCAACAACTGAAAACCCACCTAAGCATCAATTCACCAAACACTCCCCAAGTCTTTTGGCATTTTGGTTGTAGACACAACCTCACCTAAGAGTTTATGCAACAACCAACACCAAAACAGATAACCCAAAAAGGAACAAGTTGCTAATGAAATTAACACATTCATAGTGGGTGTTGCCATTGCCGTTGCTGTTGTTGTTGCTACTACTATTGGGGGTAGTGTTTGCATTTGTGGTGGTGGTGATGATGAAGGAGGCTTCCACCATTCCCCGAATGTGCAAACTCCAGCTAAACATTTGTAATAGATTCTCCCCAGATTATTATCGGAATTTGAGATGAATACAGAAGCCTTTTTTCTACATTTACATTTCATATTATAAAGAGGACTCCAACGATTTGCGACATTGACGATTTGGCCATTGTACTCATTTTATTGAAGATGAGGAAAACAAAAGCTGTAATAAAGATCGAAACTCAAATAAAGCACCAGAGTTCATCCTCAACACTTACTTTACTATTGTCAACACTACTTCAACATATCTTTGATTTTTTACCCCTTCGTTTTCTCACTGTAAATCGCAGCAATATGCTTTTGATTGTTAGCGGATTGTGAACAAAAACAAGGGTTTGTGAACGAAATTGATACGTTTGGTCTGTGTGTTGAAGGCTTGCACAAAAAGAGTAATATTTGGGGATTTTGGTAGGAAAAAAAAAGAATTGGAATTAGGGTTAACAAAACAGATTGCAGATTGGGTTTTTATTGGGTTAAAACTCACACGTGGGACAAAACCAAACAGATATATCAGCAACGGTTAAAAGGGTATAAATGGGATTTTGGGAATATATCATTTGTCACATGCATGAATCACCGCAAAAACCAAAAGGGACAGCGTTCACAGTTTTTTTTGCAAAATTTGTGATAATTTAGGGGTTTTTCTTTAAAATTAGAAAATCAGGGGATTATTTGGGAGAGAGTAAAGTACAGGGGGGTTTATTGCCCTTACCCTTAAAATTTTTATTTCTTATTAAATTATTTTTTATTATATTTTTCTCTTATTTAAATATTAATTATACCATTTACCTTAATTTTATAATAAGTATCAATTGATTATAAAAATAGAAAAAAAATGTAGCTATCATATTCTACAATGATTAACATATTTTAATAAAACTTATTATACTCACTTTAAAAAAAATTAGTATAAAAAAAATATCTTCTTTTTCAAACAATATTCATGACAAATTAATAAATTAAGTAAATAAAAAATATCTTATTTTTAATGCAATATATTCATGAAAATTAAGAAATTACTTAAATTGTTTCAAAAATTTTTATTTAAGATTTTTATTTAAATAATTAATTAAAAAAATTAAAGGCAAACTTATGCAAATTTAATGGAGAATATTTCATTAAATTAGTATGAATTTTTTTTCATAAGAAAAATATATCAAGTGTAATTCACTAAGAAATGGTATTATGGTCATTTAATGAAAAATAGGTGAGACAATGGGGCATTTTGCAACTAAATGTTATAGTTTAGGGGGTTTTATGCACAAAACTTAGTTGAGGGGGATTATTTACAAATTTAGACATAGTTGAGAGGTTTTTTGCACTTTACCCTTATTATTATAATAAACTATGTTGATTTTATTATTATTAGGGTAAAGTGTAAAAAAAACTCCTGAATTATTGGCTTTTTGCAACTAACCCCTTAAATTAAAGATTGCTCCCTAAACTATTGATTTGTTACAATTAAGGACAAACCCATCACAAAAAACTATTTTACCCTTTGTTATTAAATTTGTCATTTCTTATTAAATTATTTTTTATTATATTTTCTCTTATTTAAATATTAATTATATCATTTACCTTAATTTTATAATTAGTATTAATTGATTATAAAAATGGAAAAAAAAAATAAATTTTTAGCTATCTTTTTTCTAAAATGATTAACTTAATATAATAAAACTTATTATACTTACTTAAAAAAAATTTAGTATAAAAAAAATCTTCTTTTTCAAACAATATTCATGAAAAATTAATAAATTACATAAATAAAAAATATCTTCTTTTTAATGCAATACATTCATGAAAATTAAGAAATTACTTAAATTGTTTCAAAATTTTTTATTTAAGTAATTAATTTAAAAAATTAAAGGCAAACTTATGCAAATTTAATGGAGAATATTTCATCAAATTAGTATGAATTTTTTTCATAATTTATTGGCAAAAAATGCAAAAATCCCCTGAACTATAAAAAAAACCTGTATTTTACCCCCTTAGACTACAAAAGTGAACATGTCAGTACCACAACTATCCAAATCATGCAAATTAACCCTTGAAAGTCAATTCCGACAGCTTTCCGACCGACTTCATTGTAGATTTACAAAACTACCCATTGTAATTAAGAAATAAAAAATAAAAAAACAAATAATCAACCTGAAATACCCTCAATGCCCCGCATATGATATACACATGTTTTCCCAAATCTGAGCTTCTTTTAGTCATTTGGGTTTTAGACTTCTCACAGAGGCAATCCTCCTGCCAGTGCTCTCTCATAGGGGTCCAACAAAAACAAGCAAAAAGTAATTAATGGCACAGTATTTTTCTCTCTCCTCTCTCTTTTTCTCTCACAATTGCTTTATCTCTCTTATCTTTTCTCTCGTCTCTCTCTTATTCAATCAGCACCACGAAACTATAATCATCCTCATCCTCTTCCAAGAAAACCCAGTACAAGTAAGAAATCAAAAAACCCGATCAAAGTTGTCCTTCGCGGTGGCTGAGGTTTGTACTTCATGCCCGAGGTTTGTCCTCGCCGATCGCCTCTCTAAAACAGAAAGCTTTCTCTCTAAAAAGAATATCTTGCAAAACCTTTTCTTTCTTTCTTTATACGTCCATTTCTAAAGCCAATTTCGGGTTTAAAAAATATGAGGATGGAAAAATTCAATTCAACAAAAAGGTACTCAGAAACCAGAACCAGACAATCGAATCGTCGCCGAAAAATTGCCCGGACGTCAATTCCAGCGAATTTCCTCAGTTGGGATTTCAGCGAGCTTCGCCACAATTTATGGAAACTAGGGACATTACGATTACAACTACGCCAAAGAATCATCGGAGCATAGTTGCATTGCAATCTCCGCGTCCATTGCTTCGATTCGTCCCCACCTCGAGATCGCCATCCTCCCCTACGTCTGCTGTGGTACAAGACCTGCCTTTTCTCTTTCTCTAGGGTCTAGACTCTTACCTATCTTAAATAAAGTAAAGGAAACATAACAACTCCTCCACTTTCATTGCATGCTCTGCTCATCTCCTCCTTGTTGTCCATCCTCACCTCTCTCTCTACACAAATTAATATACATCTATCAATAAAGCAACCCAAAATCATAGAGAATTAAGCAAGAAACAATAAATAAGGAGGAGTAAGGTTTGGGTAATATTCCAGGGCAATTTTGGAATTAAAATAAAAGGATACGTCACGTGCTGCACTTGTGGGCTAGAAAGTTGCCGGAATTGACTTTTAGGGGTTAATTTGCACTATTTGGATAGTTGTGGTACTGACTTGTTTACTTTTGTAGTCTAGGAGGTAAAATGCGGTTTTAGTTTAGGGTTTGTTTTGTTTTTGTTTTGAACTTTCTTTTATTTATTTATTTATTATAATTATCATGGAAGTTCCGCCCTTAAAATTTTTAACACTTAAATTTTTAATTTTATCAAATAACACCCAAGTCAAAGAAAAACACACTCAATACTTACTCCATAGAACTCTAATCATCAATGTTGTATTTGAAAATAACATTTATTTATGGTGGCAAATTAGAAAGAAGTACTCCAACATGGACACACTTACTAAGAAAGCTGAACGCTCTACCAATTACACCAATTAGTATTACCCAAAAAAGAAAAACTAGGCTAAGCTGAAATACTCACAGTACTTTATTTCAATTTTTTTTTCCTCTTATTTTATTTAAATTTTTTGTTGGCCCTATTTTATTTGTCCTTGGGTGTCCGGCTTCGAGCGCAGATCTATTTTTCTAAAAAAAAAAAACTAATATTTTTGATTGAAAAAGAAAAAAAGAAAAAAAACGAAGCTTTATACCGGGTCGGAGGATCCGAAAGCTAAACCCTCCGAGTGTCTAACACAATCCACCCGTTTGCATTTTACAAAGAAGGGTTTTAGAACACACATGCATACACAGATTTGTATATATCTAACAAAACCCTTGCAAACCCTATGCACCTGAACTGGGCATTTCGCTCCAGTACTCCTCGATCCAAATCGCATCCCTCTAGGATTTTTACTGCCTCTACGATCTTTTCTGTTCAATTATTTGCAGTCTACTCCAGAAATGGCACATATCAGTGAGTGCTAGTCTCTCCGATGCATCGACGATTGGCCATTTTCGGTCATCGAGCACTCACAAATTCATCACTTTTCTCCCAAACCACCATCACTGTTTTGCACAATCAATCGAGTATTTTGAGCAGTAGAAATAATGGGTTCGCTTTCTTTCGTGTGTTCATGTTCACGAAGACAGAGAAACGGAGAGTCCCCGACCCCGATGACCCATCCAACTTGATCAAGGAGGATGGAGTCTCAGTGTGCTCGCGTATGTGGATCGAGAATTTCCGAGAACCCAATAAGACAGTGACCAATTTGGCTGATTATCTTCGAAGATTCGAGCTATGGGTATTGGCTTACCAGAAGGTAAGTGCAGATGAGATGGGGGCATATATGCCGCGAAGCGCAGTACAAAGGTCAGCTCTTGAAGACTTGTTAGCTCTTAGAAATGCAGTTCTTGATAATAGGTTCAAATGGGGAGCTAGGTTAGAGTTCTTTATCAAGTCTCCTAAAGATAAGACTGTGTATGAATCTTTGTCGAAGAGGAAAATTAGGGCTATTTTGACAACTACGCAGCCGAGCCCATTTCAAGATAGGATTGTTCAGGAGGTTTTGTTTATGATTTTGGAACCAATTTATGAGGCTAGGTTTTCGCAGAAGTCGTTTGCATTTAGGCCTGGAAGAACTGCCCACACGGTTTTGAGGGTCATACGCCGGAGTTTTGCAGGTTATTTGTGGTATATCAAGGGGGACTTGAGTACAATTTTGGATGGGATGAAAGTAGGAATGGTGATAAGTGCTTTAATGAGGGATGTTAGGGATAAGAAGGTGATTGATTTGGTGAAAGCAGCATTAGTTACTCCGGTGATCACGAGCCGGGTTGATGAAGGGACGAAGAAGAAAAAGACGAAGAGGAAGTATCAGAAGAAAAGGGTTTTAGCAGAAGATGAACCAAAGCCTGACCCGTATTGGTTAGAGACCTTTTTTGGGTTTGCGCCTGAGGAGGCGGAGAAGGTTCCTACTTGGGGTCATTGTGGGATTCTCAGTCCCCTTTTGGCTAACATTTGCCTTGATGAGTTGGATCATTGGATGGAGGGTAAGATCAAGGAGTTCTATCGTCCTTCCAAAAGTGATGTCATATGGAACACTCCAGAAGGGGAAGTTGAACAGGGAAATACATCTTGGCCGGAATTTGTTCCCACAAGTGGGCCGGATAAGACCAGAAAGGTTGATTATGTCCGTTTTGGGGGTCACATTTTAATTGGAGTCAGGGGACCTAGAGCAGATGCAGCTACTCTGAGAAAGCAATTAATTGAGTTCTGTGATGAGAAATATCTCCTGAAGCTTGACAATGAGAGTCTCCCTATCGAACACATAACCAAAGGCATAATGTTTCTTGACCATGTGCTGTGCCGGAGAGTCGTGTATCCAACTCTTCGATACACTGCAAGTGGTGGGAAGATCATCAGTGAAAAGGGCGTGGGCACCCTTCTGTCAGTAACAGCGAGTTTGAAGCAGTGCATTAAACAATTTAGGAAGTTGAGCTTTCTCAAGGGTGATAGGGATCCAGAGCCACAGCCTTGTTTTAGAATGTTCCATGCAACTCAAGCTCACACAAATGCACAGATGAATAAGTTATTGTCCACCATGGTAGAGTGGTATAGGTATGCGGACAACAGGAAGAAGATTGTCAATTTTTGTTCTTACATCATAAGGGGTTCACTTGCAAAGCTTTATGCTGCAAAATACAAGCTACGTTCACGAGCAAAGGTTTACAAAATTGGTGCACGGAATCTTAGTCGCCCTTTAAAGGAAAAAAAGGGGCAGTCACCAGAGTACCATAATTTGCTTAGGATGGGTCTTGCAGAGTCAATTGATGGGCTTCAGTATACCCGAATGTCTCTGGTACCAGAGACGGATTACACTCCTTTCCCCAGTAATTGGAAACCTGATCATGAGAAGGCATTGCTTGAATATGTACAGCTTGATGATCCAAAAACTCTAGAGGACAAACAAAGTTGTCTTAGAGAACAAGGTCTGATTTCACCTCAGGATTACATTTCAATGCTTGTTTGGAACTACAAAAGGAATGCTATCCCGGTGGATCAGTTTCCCTCTACAATCGGTGGTGGGAATAACATAATAAGTGGAAAAAGTTTGTTGCTGGGATCGGACCCTGAAAACTATGATCAAACCACCAAAGATGAGGAAGACAACGAAGAAAGGATTAATGCGGCACAAATTTAAGGTAGTTTTTGTCCTTTATGCTTTTAGAAGTGATTTTTGTAAGCTGGTGTTTTACTGATTAGAGAAATTAAAGCAGAATGCCTTTGCTTCTGCATTTATCTAGTAACCCACTGTAAAAATGTGAAATTACAGAGCATATTGTATAATTTTAAATGTATTTATTGATTCTATTCCATTGTCTTCAACTGCTAATTTTTGGTTAATATATATGTATGTGTGTGTGTGTGTGTGTGTTATATATACAGGTATGGAATATTGGTCTCTGAAGTTTAAGATTAGCTACTACTATGAACTTTTAACAGTATGGAATGTATTGAGCATTGAATATTGGATCATAGCAACTTAGTGTGGACTCTTTTTTCTCCCCTCCCCTTAAGTTTTTGCACTTTGTGTAGTTTCAATATCTAAAATCCTTTAATATTTCTGTAGTTCTTTATCATTATTTTGCAGTTATAGTGGCTGGTTTGCTTGAGACAGCTTAGGTTGATTGCCTAAAACTTATGTGAATTATTGTAACAGGTAGTTACTTGAAAATTGTGTGTTTAGTTTCTTAAAAGGTGGAAGAATGATTTAGGATTTGTAGATGGTAAGGTTTGGAATTTGCTTGGTTTTGATGGTGTTTGTTGCTGCAATTTCTGGACCACAAGAAATATGGAGTTAGGGTGTTGAATTAAGGGCTAAACTGTAGGCAAAATAGTTAGTATTATGCATATAAAAACAAAATTGGTTAGTATTATAAAATTAGAGTTTTGGACAAAAGAAAAATCAAACAAATTAAAGGACATTTTGTTGTTAAATAGAAAGCTTAGCACTGCATAGAAGAAGGATCTTCTAGGAATCTTACCTAAGATTACTGCCACCCTTAACGCCAGGCTGCATCAAACACCATCCAATCTATAATTCTCTAAGCTTTACTCTCTCTTATGAATCGAATACATATGCAGATAATTATAGGTTACTAGACTTGTTTTACTTTCATGAGGACTGGGAAATTGATTCAAAAATTTCAGAACTTTGACTAGTTCTTTAAAGCTAAATTGACTAGTTGCTTTTGACGTGTCGCTTGGCTTTCAAGCTGTTCAAAGTTACCTGATAAAATTTTGTTCTGGTCACCATCCTGTTACAGTTCAATCTGATAATGCTACCGTAATGTATGAGATTGATGAAGATGGCAAAGAAAGTGCAGTGGCATCATAAATTCCATCAACTAGTATCATTGAAGACTTCTGTTTGATCACACCATCATATGGGTCCTCTGTGTTTGTCATCTATATGTAGTGGCTATACAAGTGCATATGATGTTTAGAAGAGTCCAAAAATGTGAATTTCAACACTGTGAAAGAAGGAATAAGAGGACCTTTCAACCGTGATAATATTCCGTGTTATGTAGCTGTCAGCTCAATAGTATGCATTCAGGTGTTTGTTTGAAACCTTCTAATTACTTCTAATCTGCTGTTTTCCATTATAGGATCAAATTTGGGACTTTTACTCCGTGTTGTGTAGCTCTCTACTTAGTGACTATGCACCTTTATGAGGCAAGATAGTAAGGCTCTCTCTCTAGCACACATACTCCAAAAATCTCTTGTGACTTTTCCATTTGGCAGCAAATCACAAGCATGTAATACATGCCTGTGCATCCGCTCTGGTTAGCCACACACACACACATAGCCTGTTCAGAAACAGCCACGTAGGTGACCATCTGGCACTGCAAAATTCTTCCAGTTTTGATGTTTCTATGGTAAGCTCTGAGAAATATGCTATACATGCAGATGTGATGTGCGATCTCTGAAGGATTTTGTTTCCAAGGCCCTTTGGATTCTCTGAAGGATTTTGTTTCCATGGCCCTTTGGAAAACTGTAAATTGACTATTCTTACCCAATCTAATGTTTCACTTATGGTCTATAGCTGAACTGGAGTTGTTCTTGGGACACGGGCTATGACAATGCAGGTATGGAAGCTCTTTGATGTGGAGCTTTGTTTTTTTTTTTTGTTTTCCTTTTTCCTTTCTAAAAGGATCAGCAAAAACAAATCATGGTAAATCAGTGTTGCTAAGGGCGCGCCTAGGCTCGAAGCGCAGGTCTAGCGCCTGTTGCATCCCAGGGGCACTGATATTTACTAGGCGCGCGCCTTGGTTGCGCCTCATCCTATTTGTGAGGTGAGCTTCACCGATTACTTTAAAAAAAAAAAATTTGATTATTCTATTTCTTAAGCCAAAAAGGGAACTTTTGGCAACTTAATAACCAAATAAGGAAGTCCAAGCGTATGAGAGAAGGAACTTTTGTTCAAAAGAATAAACAAATAGGAAAGCCCAAGATACAAAGTGTCAACCGAACATAGAAAGAGTGAGCCTGTGAGACCAACAACAAAGCCCTAGTTGCAATAACGAACAATGAAGTCATGCCAGTTCTTTCTTCTTCTCCTCTTCTACTCTTCCCTTCTCATTTTTGTTTACTTCTCTCTCTCTCCGTCTAGTTCTCTTCCTTTTCTTCTTTATCACTTTCTCTCTCTTCTCATCAACTTATCGCTCTTCACCTACTTCTTTTGTCTCTACATCTTTTTTTTTTTTGGCTCTAATTTTTTTTTTTTTTTAATTAATAGATTTATTTCTTTTTGTGCTCTGTTTTGCCTTTCAAAAAAATAAATTATGTTTTGCCTTTCAAGAAAACAAATTTGTGCTTGATGGATTTACTTTTTTATATTTGATAAGAGAATGCTTTTATGGTAGTTTAAAATTTCAATTGTGCGCCTCACTTCACTCAGGCGCGCGCCTCGGGCCTAGGCTCCAAAGGACCTCTAGCGCCTTGGTGCACTTTGAGCCTTTAATAACACTGGTAAATTTAAATAATTTGATTCATGGATTATGCTCTTAGTTTGAAATGCCATCATAAATTAAGATCGCATTTTAACTAGTGTTTGGACATTTTTGGATTTCCACCATAGGCTGTTCCAGTGGTTGAGTTTTAATCACTTGTGAGGAAAGTGGCTTTTCAGTGATCAATTTTTTTTGAAGAATACTCTCTTTTTTTCCTCCCTCCCTTCCTGAAGATTATGCATCAGTATCGAGTTCACCAGCCCCCCAATTCCCCTCTCATCATCAAGCTCTTGGAATATGATGAAATGCCCCCGTAGCCAAACTTTTGGAGATCAAATCATGAAATCGTTGCTGTCAATAACCAAGACACTGTAGGAGATTTCCTATGAAGTGTTTCATGCAGAGGATAATGTCATTATGCTAGTAACTGTTTAGAGAGTTTTCATAATTAGCAATAGAGGATTTTGAAGTCTTCCCAACTGTGATTCAAGGCACATTATTGGAACTTGTCATTTATGAAATATGGAAATCACTTGCCCTCACTGTTTTGATACACTGATTACGGTATTTCAGAACCAGATGCCTGAATTGGTTTATCGAATTAGACAGACGAGGAGGAAAGCCTTCTCTGCATTTATACTTCAGCTGCTTGGTTATAACAGTATAACAGTGGAAAGTATCATCTTCCAAAGCAGTTTTGATGGCTGAACTACATTAACAATCATGTGAAGGTTACCTCATATTCACACTAAAACGTGCGACTCATTAATGGCGTCTCCTTCATTTGTGTCACGGGCTTCTTCGTTCTCATCTTCTTAAATGGCTTCTTGTATCCCATCATCACCGATTCACCATGGGCAGCATCGGTATGAAAACATCATCTTGTGCACCCTCACCCCACCCTTGCACCCACCAATATTGTTGGCATTTATCATATCCTCATGAAGACTGCAAGTTTAGCAAACTTACCATCAACATTGTCATTATTGTTGCCATCATATTATCATTCCTTTGCATGGTTATTACTCTTGATAAAAAACCAACAAGCTGTCATGTTGCCACAACCTCCATCACTCACATACCCACCTTGAGAGTCACCATCATTAGTGAAGCACTAAGTTGGGCACTACAGATACTGTAACAAAATTTTAGAAAAATGACGAGATAATTCCATGAAGAACTCGTATATAAAAAAAAATATAAAAAGTTTATTTTTCTTGAGAATTGCATTTTAAAACATCTAAACAAATTACATTTAAAAGAAATGGGTTAAACAATTCACTTATTAATGTCAATTGTGTTAGTGTTTGTGCGCAAGTATTCAGCTGGATTAATATTGTCATTATGATACCTCTGGTGTTTTTTTTTATCATCACTCTGAGAGGTTGTGGTATCCTGTTCGTAAACTGCTTCCAAGGGAATATAATGCATATTATTTACTTACAATATATTTATAATGACCTTTTAACATTCATAATACCATATATCTTGCAAAAGGAGAAAGTAATAAAACATTTATGTGAAGTAATGATCTACTAATGTCTTCTAGTGAACTTAGGATGGTGCTGATGAATAATTATCTCATCTTTCTTGGAGTTTGATTGGTTAAACTGATTTCTTCTTCATCCATTTAGACTGATTTATTTTTCCCAGTCTAGTACAAATTTTTTTTATAATTATTATTATCTTAATGAAGCTAAGGGCTTGTTGCTCTTTGCAGAGGTTGTTGTTGAAGGCTATGAAGCATCGCTATAAGGTATCTCCTGATTGGTGGGATTTAAATGGGCATGATGAAAGCCAGTCTCCTAAATGTGTGCAAGTGCTTTCCTGGTAAGCTTTGATTTAAATGTCCTCCCTCATGGGTAGATTCAACTGAATGTTAAGGTAACAATCGGATTAGAGAGGTGCATGAAACTATTATAATTTGGGGTCCAGAAAATTATGTGGCCTATAAATGATAGGTCATCAGATTCATTGCCCTAATCTCTCCCGAGTTGTCCGAAGCTATAGCTGCTAGCAGGCAATCCATCTTGCTCTGTCCTAGCACCGTGTCTTATAATTCCAGAAGATATTGTCTTAGTGGTTCTCTCTCAAAGATTAGATTGTCAGTCCATGCGATTGATAATGCTGGAGATTGGTCAATTTAATCTAAATGAAGTGTTTGCAAATTTCCTTGGGCTGCTGATTTTGCTGTTCCCACTACTGGTAGTGATGCTTCTGGTTCCTAAGCAGAAGGGCAACAGAAAAGTGGTAATTTCATGGTGAAAGAACTGAAAGTATGCCAGTGGCAGATGCACCACTTTCGGTTGTGGTGCAGTACCAAGGATGCTCAATTCTTTATTCCATGACAACTACAGTTAAAATCCTTTGTAGTCTTTTTTTTTTAAACAAGTACGAAAGGATCCCAAGTTAAAATATCATCAATGTTGTGTAACAAATTCCATTTTTTAAATCTAACTAGTTTCTGAGACGATCGTTAATAAGTAATGTTGCATCGCCTTTTTAAATCTCACTAGTTTCTTCGGAGGTGATTTCACTCCTGTCCCTGATTTGAAAGTCAGTACATCGCTTTTGCATCATTCCATTCTAATTATAGATGTTGATCTTGCTTTCTGATTCTGCAAATGAAGTCTTCTCCAATATCTGCATCAACAACGAACCTCCTCAAAACTGTAAATGACAGACTTCAGGGGGGCTGCATGGAGAAAGTGACCAAATGTTTTTCTATTCCCTCATATGAGAATTTTGTAGAAGATTTTGTTTGTGCCATGAGTCGGCTAACTGACTTTCTGTTGAGAAGCATGTTTTCACCAATTTTTGCCTGCCACTTTTTTCAACGCACTCTGAATCTTGGAAAAGAATTGATCGGAGGAGGACAGAAAAGAAAATGGAATGAAAATGAAGTTGGTTGTTTTCTTTTGTTTGATTGAATGGGGAAAAAATGCAGTTGCAGGTTCTACAGGGAGCAAAGTTCATGACGATTTTGGAGGCAGTGGCGAAGGTTGTGAGGTTCGTGGCAATCGTGGCGGTGAGGGCACTGGTGTTCAAGGCAATCATGGTGGCGGTGAGGGCACTGGCGTTCATGGCAATCACAGCTGCTGCTAGCATTGATGAGGTTTGTGCTCCGTGATGGCGCCCGACAGTAGGTCTGAAGAAGGAGATCAGTGTTGAATTGATCTACTAGAAACAGGCATCATCAACAGTATCTAAGAAATGTAAATGTGCTTGATGGTTCATATTCTTGCAAGTGTGTGCCCTAATATTTTTCAGAAAAATGTTTCCTGAAAACAGAGTTACAGGAAGACCCAAAAACCTATTTTGGGTGATTATTTTATCTTATTTTTAAAATTTTCAGAAACATCATTTTTAGCTAACACAACCAAGCAGCTGTAATCTTAGAAGAGGGAACAAAAACTGTTTCCAATGTATGTTAAGGACTTGATGGTCTTTTCATTTTCCTCTTCTTTTTGTTTATTTTCAATCATAATTGCTTGCAAAATGAGCTTAATTTGTTTGGTATGACAATTTGCAAAATTAAAATCAGAGCTGAAAGGCATAGGAGATTTGGTTTTCAAGAAAAGGAGTTATCTGAAGGTACGGAATATTGAATTTTTTTAATATATTTTTTTTATCATGACATTTTGTAACATTTTAGTGTTTCTTTTAGTTATCAATTAAAAAAATAGATAATAGTATTTCTGATTCTTAAATGAAAATCGGAAAAAGAAAAGAGATGCTACAAAGTTTGTATTCACCTAATTAAAAAAGAGGGGCATTATCCGGTGGCTTAATTGGTAAGGTGCCTAGTTTTTTGAGTGGGTATGTTCGAGTCTTCCTTTTTCTTAATTTGTTAGGATTTAAAAATAAAAAAAAAAACTTAAGAAAATTGATTTTATAGTATGTATTTGGTTAAGATGAAAATTTATCGAAGAAAATTGTAGGAAAATATCATGTTATAGTTTAGATACCTAAATTGTCCTTATTTTATAAAAATGGTAAGATAATAAAAAATTAATTAATAGTATGTATATAAAAAAGTGATGGAGTATTCAATTAATTTAGACTTTATAAACTACTATTTATCTCATCCATATATGATGAAAAATAATTTAAAATGAAATTCAAGTTAATTAAAACCCTATCAATGATAAAGTTGTTGTTGGACTGCAATTATTTGAAACCAGTAAAATAATGCAATGATAAAGTTGTTGTGTAAAATAATGCAATGAAGTTGTTGGTTAAAATAGGAACACAAAATAAAAAGACTTTACTTTCACATATAGCAAGAAAAGAAATGAAAAGAAAATAAATGGAAAAAGAATGAAAAGAAAATTGATTTCGAGTATGTATTTGGTTATGATGAATATTTATTTAAGAAAATTGTAGGAAAATATCATATTATAGTTTGGATACCTAAATTACCCTTATTTTATAAAAATAATAAAATAATAAAGAATTAGTAATAGAATATATTTAAAAAATGATAAAGTTTTCAAAATGAATTTAGACCTTCCGAGTTACTATGATTTATATATGATGAAAAACAACTAGAAATGGAAGTCAAGTTAATAAAACTTTATTAGTGATAAAGTTGTTGGTGGATTCTAATTAGTTGAAACCCAATAAAAAATTATTATTGTCTTCAAATATAGATGAAGTTGTTCGGTAAAATAATATCAATGATATTGGGTAAAATAAGAACACTAAATAAAAAGACAATTCTTCCACGGAAACATTTTAGAGAAAATAAAGGATTACAAGAATCCTAATTTTCTATAACTTTTTCTTTTCTATCTAATCAAACTATAAAAAAGTTTTAAATTTTTTTATTTTTTTTTTCTTTTTCGATCGAAGCCGAAACGTTTTGAGGAAATTAGAGGTTGCGAGAATTTTAATTTTCCAGAACTTTTCCTTTTCTTTTTACCAAACTCCTTATAAATTTCAAAACTTTCTTTCTCATTGATTCTATCTAACCAAACAAAGTCGAAAAAAATAAAAAGACCGACCAAGAGTTTAATTAATTAATTTTTTTAAACTACTCCATTGGAGTGATTAAAAATTTTACTCGATCTTTTTCTGTAGTTCTAGAAGTCTTTTATCTTCTTTTTTCTAAAAAAAATTCTTGGGTCAAAAATATATTTAGATGTTTGTTTTTCATAATCTATATTCAAGAAAGTGAGTAAAAAATTTCTTGCCACATCAACATTTGTCGGTGGGCCCATTGAATTTTGTAATAGATTGGCCCATAATCATGTACCGGGTGAGCCCAGCTCCGAGTGGACTCGGTCGTTATCGTAGAGTTCAAAATGTAATAAAACAGCAAAAGAAAAAATTCTTTTTATCAGCAACCTGAATAACAACGTCACTGAGCAAATCAAAATCGATTCCTTCGCATAGAAGACGAAGCTGATATGATTCGCCAACACGCGCCTTCTCTGTGACTTCTCTCTCTATACTCTCTCTTTACCTTCGCATCCCTCAGGTTTTCTCTCTCTATATATACGCACGCATAGTTGAAACATATACACACACATATAATATATATACACACATATAATATATATACATATACTGTGTTCTTGAACTATTGTGCCTATAGGTTTTTCAATTCGGAAACGAGTTTGATTTATTCAATTGACGTTTCGTTCTGTCGTTAGAGGTGTTCATAGGATTGTTGAATCGTTTTTTTGTTTTCTCAGATTAACGGAGGTATTGGATCTAATTTGAATTGTATTTTTTAAATAAAAGCCCTAAATTAGTGGAATGATTCGAACCGTATTACCATTTGTTTTGTTTTATGATTAAATTTTGATTTGCTGTGACCGATTTTGATCTGTTCTTCCTTTGCAGCTGTGTACTTTAGTTGGATTTGCGATTTTTCAGCACTGTTTCTGAATCGACGCGATGGTTTCCTTCGAGATGAACGACCGCAAAAGTGAGTGAACAGAAATTGCTTGTTATTGTTAATTATTATATGTGTACGCAGTTGTTATGGAATATGGATTGAAAACTAGGGCAGTAGGGCTAGCTTTGGTTTTCAGTGTGAGAAAGAGTATCTCTTAATCACCTTTGGTTGGTAATTCGGCTCTAATGCTGATACTAGGTGTGTGAATATGGTAATTCTGTCAGTGGCCAAAAACCACTGAGGGTGTGATCGGTTGTGCGGAATTGGGACCCTGGAATAGGATTTGGAGGTTCCAATTCAAATTCCACTGTTTGGTTGCTCGAAATGAATATATACCAATTCCATGATTTAAATTCCAAAATGGAGGCAGATATTTTATTACAAAATTTACATGGATTTCAAATACAATCACCAAAATAGATGAATATTATAGGTGTAATTATAAGAAAATAAATACGCACATTTTGTCTTGTCTTGTCTGGTCATCCATAGCAAAGGCAAAAAGATATAGGCTTAGAGCCAACCCTTGATAGCACTTGTTTCTGTCACAGTGGTTCCGACAATTGTCTTACGTTCTTTGTACATATATCCTTTGTTGCGTTAATATATCTCTTTATTACTTTTTCTGAAATCCTCTATATTAGGGTTCTAGGTACAATTTTATAAGCTTTCTTTAAATCAATAAAAATCATATGAAGATCTTTCCTCTTCTTCTATATCTTTCCATTAGTCCCCTCAATAAGTAAATATCCTCCATCGTTGGCTTCCCCGGAATGAATCCAAATGGATTTTAGATACTTCAGTTTCTCCCCTTTTTATGTCCCCTTCGGTATTTAAAATCCTTTTGCGCTACTTATCAAGCATTCTCTTATTTGTTGTTATCTTATTAAAAATATTAGTGTTAAGATACACCATTATCCCCTAAACGCTTCTAAACAGAAATGTCATATGGTCCTAGAGCTCTTCATGATTTCATTTTTCATTTTATGTTTTTAACCTAGCAGTCCACGACTTTACAGAAAAACATGTTATCCCTACAGTTTTTATATTTTTCTGAGCCTAAGCTTACTAGATGATTTTGATTTAACAATTTCTCTAGGTATCCTTTCTGCCTGTCTTGAAATACGTCATCTTACACTAAACCATTGAATTTTAATTCTTAATGCATTTAATATGACTAAAATCTTTAGTTTTTCTCTCCCTTTGTTAGCAAGTGCTTCTCTTACTACTTTTTAAACTTCTTTATTGTCATTTTTGTATCTTTGAAAGGTTTTTCTATTTCTTTTGCCAATATTTATTATATTCTCGGTTTGTTTTCACAATGTTTTGGTCTAATCACACATATCAATCAAAGAATGTAATGCACATCTAGTTCCTTAGTAATACCTCTTCCATCCATCCTACTCCCCCTTCCTTCCAATTTTCCTTCCTTTGTACCAAATAGAGCATGAGTTACTTGCTTTGAGTATGTATAAATAATCTTCTTATAAGCCAAAGACCAAATATCAATTTTCGTCCATGTGTCATTTTAATAGGACCCTTTGTTGTTGAACCTTTGAGGGTTCTATGCGGACTCCATTCCTCTAAGTAGTCTTTTGTATCCCCTTGTTTTCGATTTGGTTGTTGTTCAAGGTGAGTGAAGTGAATTTGGTTCTAATTTGTTATCAAAGTGGTCATGTGATCGTGCCTAATAGTTTTTTTGGTTCTAATTTGGTAGTTTCATTTACTTTTTTTTTTGATAAGTAATTTGGTAGTTTCATTTACCTAAGATTATAAAGCTGTCATGCAGGCTTCAATTATAGTTAGTTTAATGAAAACGATATATGAAGGCTTATTATATCTATTTGGAGAGTTGCATATGAATTATGTGTATTTTGATGCATATAACATGTGCACAAACTCTCTGTCTCTCTCTATCGCCTTGTGACACATTTATGGTATGTTCTTCCACTATCTTGCTCTGAGTCACCTCCAACATTTTCTAGATCTTTTTTAGGTTTGCCCACTCCTACTCTTTTTACTTTATTTATTTATTTATTTTTTTCTGTGTGCGGGTTGATTGTTTTTGTTTTGGTTTGGGGGGGGGGAGGGTGGTTTGGGGGGGTTTAAACTGATTTTCAGTTTTTTGATAATGGCTGATTCGCTGATATCTAAGCACACCTTAGTTGAGGTATCTTTTGCACTGAGATTCTGAGAAGGATTGTCTTGTTCGTAACCATAATGGATAACCGCTACTGCCAAACAATGACTGATTTTCAGTTTTTTTATAATGGCTGATTCGCTGATATCTAAGCGCACCTTAGTTGAGGTATCTTGTGCACTGAGATTCTGAGAAGGATTGTATTGTTAGTAACCATAAATGGATAACCGCTACTGCCAGACAATGACTGAACAGTATCACCTAAATTATATGCCAAGGGATAGCAGGTGCTTTGGAAAGCATCACATTTGTAAATCCGGCAAACCCGGCACGGATCTACGTTGGGCCAAGTGGGGCCAGTCAGTATTTTTTAAAAAATTATATTACATACATATACTTGTTTTGTTAAAATCCTTAAAATGTTCCCACTAACTTTTTGGTAAAATCCCAGTATAAATATTATATGCCTAATTGATTTTTTCTTACTTTCTCTGTTCCATGGTCTCTGCCCCCCATACATCCTCTCTCTCTCTCTCTCTCTCGCGTGCGCGCGCGCGCGCACACACATGTGACTGTGGCATCTCAAATTTTTAGTACCTTGTAACTGTGGGTCCCTGATGCTGATTAGGATAATGGAGGATGGGAGTGAAATTCATGGGGAAAGTGGAGCCTAGGCCCTAGGTATTTAAGTGCAAGAGAGACAGGGCCGAAGTCCATAGTTTCTTGAGGTCTTAAGGGAAAATTAGGTTTTTCTGGTTAATGCAATAATGGAGTCCTCAGCCTGGTAGGCATCTTTATATAGTAGTGGGGTTCGTAGGACCTTTAGGTAAAGACCCCCATCTAAGAAGGCTCATTTTTAGGTCATCATGCAACAAAACATTTTGGCAAAGTCCCGGAGCTGTTCCCAAGACTACATAGATTGCACCAATTTCAATTGTGGTGGTTGGGCTCATTAAATGTGATAAGACGGGTTGAGGTTTTTAATTTTCCCTTTCAAGAACCATGGGTCCTCCCTTGCCTCTGTAACCCATCAAGTTACCCTTTTATTCAAGTGGGGCTTGTCAATAAGGCTTACGTTGACAAATTTCGTAGAGCAAAACTATGTAACTTCTGTATCAATTTCTACGATAAAGTAAAAAATTTCAAAAGTTGGTGTTAGTTGCCTCCTAAGGGCATAAAGGTAAGTTCACTTTGATGCATTCACCAAATTAGGGTTCTTGCATGCATATCTAGGATTTCTAAATCTTCGTGTTTCAATCTTATTCAGATTCCATAAATTGTTTTAATCTTGCATGAAAAGAGTTTTCTGAAACCTCCTTTTTGAAATTATTTTGAAGTACAAACCTATAGAAGACTTCAATCTATCGAGGGGTCGATCAAGGGCTGATAAAGTGTTGTTGATCGATGACAGTTTTGATTGATCCAACCTTTCGGAAACTTGGTTTTAAACCTTTTTTTTATTATTATTATTTGTGTGTTTTTACTTTTGATAAGTAAATTTCATTGAAGAGCGCTCAAAGGGGAGTGCAGCCCCTATACAAAGAAGGGCCGAGGAGCCAGCTATACTTTCAACATATCCACAAAATCCACAATATTACTCCAAAATTACAATTCAAAGCCTGTACCAAAAACTCAAAGAACTAAAAATAGAGAATTCAAGCTCCCATAATGGAGTTTTTCTCCATAAAAGGATCTCCTGTTCTGCTTTTGCCACAAGCCCCACCAAACACAAAGGGGCGCCACCCTCCTTGCGTCTTGGGCTTGTCTCCCCACTATACAGCCTCTACATGTGTTGACATCTATTGTTGCGCACTACACCATGCTTATTTTTCCTCCAAAAAAAAAAAAAAAACTTTTAATTCATCGTCTATGATTGAAGCCTGGACAACTAGTGGCTAAGACTGGATCACTAGAGAAGTAGTTTTGTGAGGAGTGGATGCTTTTGACGAGCGGAAGAGCTGCCTGGAGACTTTCAAGGGAAAGTTTGGAGTCTTCTTTGTCAGCCTGTCAGGAGGTAAGTTGGGGATTCTTAGGGTAAAATTCCGTTGATCTAGGGTGTAAACTTTTTCTCTTATGGTGGATCTGGTTTGAATGGAACAATGCAATTGGTACATTCTTGTAATAAAGGTTATTTTAACATGCCTAAGAATGTTTTTAAGCTTTATGCAGCAGATATAGGTTCACCAATCTCCTGGGAGGTCTGTTTCTTCATTGGGGGTTCTTTTATTTTAAATCATGCGAAAGATGAAATTTTTTGTTGGTGTTATTTGTTCCATTCAGGGACGGACCCAGTTATTGTCCTGAATTATTATTATTTCTTTTCACTATTTTTTTCGTTCTAATATATGTACTTATGAAATATTACCTTTGTCCCCCTGAAATTATTAAACAAATTCAGTATTTCCCCCCTCACTTGAGTTTCTGGGTCCATCCCTGGTTCCATTCATATATATAATAGATGAAAGTTGTGAAGACAACAGTTTAGGTCTTTGTTTGGGAGCTTTTTCGCGAGTCATAGGGACAATAGAGATGGCATACAGTAGGACTATAGTTATGTCATCCACCTTACTTTCTTGTAGTGTTAAAAATTTGTTAGACCAGTTCAACTAAATGAAAAAGAGTTACTAATTAATTGCACATCTTGTTAAAATAATGGTTGAGGTCAAGCAAAAATTATACTCATGTATTTGCTTTACATCTAAGGATATATATATATATATATATATATATATATGCGTGTGTGTAAGTTTTTGCTTTCTGTTGCCTGTGTTTTCTGGTTTTTAATTATTGTGTTCTTCTCCTTAAGCTTTCTTTGCATTTAATTATCTTTTTTATAGATACATATAAATATAAATCTACTTTCCAGTTGGTCTTGAAATAATTGGATCCATCTCAAATTCTGATATACTAATGGATTTGTAACTCTATTATGTAACAGAGATTGGGCTAGGACTGACTGGATTTGGCATATTTTTCTCTTTCTTGGGAATCGTTTTCTTCTTTGACAAGGGACTACTTGCCATGGGAAATGTGAGTTAAAAGTGCTTCATTATCATCCTTCTATCAGTTGGGTTTCTCCATCATTCTGTTTTTCCCTTTTTTACTTATTTGTTGACATGGTACCTGATGTGTTGTTCCTGTTTGTGATTCTGAATCAGATCCTCTTCTTATCAGGGGTGATGTTAACTATTGGACTGAAATCCTCCATGCAATTTTTCATGAAACGCAGCAATTTTAAGGTGTTTGTTTTGTGATTCTCTCTGTGCGCGTGCAAGTGCGTTTCTTTATCTTTAACTTAACGGGTCATGGTTATTTTACAGGGAACAATTTCTTTTGGTGTCGGCTTCTTCTTTGTTGTCATAGGGTGGCCTGTGATTGGAATGATTTTGGAGGCATATGGGTTTATCGTGCTCTTCAGGTTTCTTGGATTTTTATTTCTATATTTCTTTTACTCTGCTGGTATTACTTTACTTTTGGGTTGCTGATCGCATATTTTGTGCAGTGGCTTCTGGCCGACACTGGCAGTTTTTCTGCAGAAGATACCCGTTCTTGGTTGGGTGATCCAACAGCCATTTATTAGATCGGTATGTATATTGTGGAATTCACTAAATCTTCTTTTTGGTAACTAGGAATTTAGGTTAACTATTTATTGAAATGATTTTTTTACTGATTTTTTACTTGACATTTTAGTGATAGAGGCCTCCTTTTGTTTATTTATTTGTTAGTAACCTATATATTTTGACTCAGACTAGTTTTGGTGATCATGAGGGGATTTTTTGTGTAATCAAGACCTTTTCTTTTTCTTCAGTCATGGACATTAAAATCAAAACAATTGAAGTCAGCCCATTTAGGCTAGCCTTTCGTGTTTTGACCATGTCCATTAAAGTTCCTTGAATATCATCTGGTTGAAAATGGCAGTTTCTAATAACAAACTTTAAATAACTTGTGATACAGCAAAGCTTGTAAAGTCGAATAGAAAATCTATAATATCGCAAATTCATAATTTGGAAAGCATAGAGTTTTTCTAAATTTAAGCCAATTATTACTATTATAAGAATGATATAATTGCCATCGTCCTTGTAGTCCATGACATCCATGTTTCCTTTTGGTCTGGTCGTGGATTCTGTTCATGCAAAGATGTACCATCTAAAGTATATTTGATCGGTAATACACTTACCAATGAGCTCCATCTCAGCAGATTTCAACAGCTTCTGCAAAGTATATCTTGGGTTCGACTCCTTTAGAAGGTACACGTGGTGTTGCTTGGGATGTCTTTAGTCAACCTGTGGACTAAGCTAAGATTAATAATAAAAAGGGAAAAGGAAAAAAATAAATAAATAATAAACATTATTACTAAAGATGGAAGCTTTTCTTTACATGAGAACAATAATTGGAGTGTAGATATTTATGAAAAGAAAAGAAGAAGAAATAATTGAAGTGAGTCATGATGAATTCTTTCTTTAGTTATATGTTGGTTTATTTATTTATTTATTTTAAATTTTCTTTTTAGAGGGTTGGCTGTTTAGTCTTCCGGTGAGAGTTGGTGACTAATCCCCCATTGCTAGAAAGCCCAACCGGTTTTAAGTAGTTACATATTTTCTAATTGCTGTTATGAGCATCTTGGAAAGAATGGACCATGCTTTCATTCAAATAATCTATTTATATTTCTGTCGGAGATGGTGGGAGCTGGATAGATCCTGTACGATGCATAAAAACATTGATAAACGAGTTTTAGTGAATTAGACTAATATGAAGATGAGGGGAATATTTCCAGGGGTCTTTTAACCAAAGACCATGTTGGGAGGCAATGACTTCCCATCCATATGTGAACTAATGTATGATAAACCATAGAGGAAACAGAGAATAAGCTTGTGGTTTGAAAATTTGTGGGACACTGCAGAGAGATCTAGACTACCTACTAAGACAATGAGCTCTACTTCGGCGTTTAAATGGTTGTTAGAAGCAGATTTTTTTTCATAATTGTTAGGAGCAGATTGAGGCTTGACCACTCTAGAACTGAATCTTAAGTCGATCAATTAGCTCAACTTTCCTATCCTCGGGAAATGGTTGTAGAGAATGTCTTCCAGCCAAGTTAGACACTGCTGCATTTTAATCTCAACAAGTGTAGCACCAATCTTTTCTGAAGTAAGCGAGAGAAAAATTTGGTGGGCCCTTGATATTTTTTATTAGCCCCACAAACCCAAGACGAAACACCTCAATTGCTTTTTCATGTAGAATTGGGCACTGCTCGTATTTCTGAACCCTATAAAGCACATCAGTCATTTTCTCTCATCATAGAGAGAGAATTCTATCTCGTGCTTCCCTCATGAGGTGTATTTGGAGTAGAAAGCAAGCCGTATGAATGATGAACCATTCTGTGATGCTTGAAATTTTATGCAACCCTCAAGACATTGATGCTATCATGAATATAGCAGACTCATACATTTCGACCGTTGTTGAACACAATGGAAGTACTGTATTACATTTCTATACGAGATGTCTATATTGTTATATCCTTGTTGCACGTTTTACAATTTTCTTCCGTGCTCCTTTAACTAGAACTCATTTGACAATTTGGTTTAATACTTCATTTTCAATAAATAAAAAAATAAATAAAAATGAACCGACGGTACATTTCTGACTGTTGAACACAATGGAAGCATTACATTTCTGTATGATGTCTATATCATTATAATTGTTGCACGTTTTATTCGCATGAACTAATATCTACATGTTAATGAAGTTTGCTTAATTATTTTTACAGTTCTTTGACCGATACCGCGGCAAACGAGTGCCCGTATAACTTCAAACTAGGAAAGTACATGGAAGTTGCATGGGTTGGCCTACTTGTAAGTGTTTGTAAAGTACTGTCCAATCAATGATTGCTTTCACTAGGTGACTGTGACTATAAAATGTTGTAGTTTGACGGTTTTTTTTTTTTTTTCCTCTTTTGGGTACGGTTGCAGTTGTTTGCTTCTTCTCCATCATTTGGTGAACCAAAATTTAGTTTATCAAATTGGAAATTTACCACTCGCAGCAATTTCTTTTTTCGATTTATTGTTGATTAGACCGTGACATAGATATTGAATGATTTTTCATCGTTGATTTGATTAATTTGATTGGTTTAGTTAAATCCAATCCATTTAGCTCTCATTCCCTCCACTTGATTGTGATTTGTGATTTGTGACCCTACTAGATGTTTTGTAATTCATACTGTTAACGTGGCTTTATTGAAATTGAACGATCCGACTAATCAGAATTTTAAAGGCTAAAGTGATCACTTGGGGTTTTCTAGAATTTGAATAATTTTCAAAGCATAACAAATTAAAAGTGGGGCAGTGTATTATGGGTTTGTTTGCTCAATTGCGTCCCTTGGATATCTGTAGCTGGACTTGTCCTTTGCGGATCTTAGACTCATGGATTGTGGTTGACGGATCAGATCGGATAATTAGACTCATGGATCGTGGTTGATTCAATAATATGGAATGGATAAAATTTCATCCTTGATATTTATATATATTATATTCTAAAATGTATTAGTTAATTATCTTTTAAATTAAAATTAGTTAATGATCATTTAAATATATGAATTAATGTTGATAAATTGAAATTTTATCTATTGGGCCATGGTTTTAAAAATAACGATATTGGATTATTTGGAAAAATCTTAATCCGTGGATCTAATCCAATCTGATCTGAGCTGTTATCTCATGAATCGATTTTCTTAATCCGTTGGGATCAAATTAGAATTGCCCCCACAACATTTTTTTTATTAAAAGTCGTCGCCACTCACATATTTCTAGGTCCATTCTTGTTTAAGTCTATAAATTAATGTATAAATTGAAATTTTATCTATTGAGCCAAGATTAACAAAATAACAATATTGGGCTATTTGGAAAAATCTCAATCCTTGAATTCAATTCAATCCGATTCGTTATTACACCTAGTAGAAATTATTTAAAGCAATTCATTCTTATTTATTTACATATGTGCGCACACATAATATACAGTGGATTAATATAAATAGAGAAACATGCCATTCACGTAGCCGACCAGAAATAATTGGGAAAAGCTTAGTTGTTGCTGTTGCTGTAGTTGTTTAATAAAACGAGCTCATAACTCATGGCTTGAGAGGGCTCTCGATCTTGATAGCTCTAGGAGGTCGAGTTAGAAGTTTCGTAAGGGTTTTGTTTGAAATTTGGGAAGTATCTGAGCCAACTGTACCAAAATTCAAGATTACAGAGATGGTAAGTGGAAAGAAAGCAAGTTGAGGATGCACAGAGCAATGTCGCTCAACTCCAAAAGATTGTAATTCTCCTCCGTCAACGGAGTCGCTTCCCTCTCTTTCTTTGCCGCGAACCCTTGCTCACACGCCTCTGTTGCCTCCATGGCCGTTCTCACCAACAGAGTAGCCGCGCTGTACTCCTCCGAGATGAAGGCACCGATGGAGTTCACCAGCATTGCGACGGCATTGACGTATAGGTCCAAGCAATCCTTCAAGCACTCAATGTCGAAAGCATCAAAGGCTCCGCTGCTCAGCATCTCCTCTATGCGCGACACCGTGTTCGTGGCGTTCTGAGTGGCGAGCTCCATTGCGATGATCGCCAGTCCTTGCTGATTCGTGAAGTGGCTGATGGGTATCGCCTGGAGAGAGGTTGAGCAGAAGTTGTAGCTCAGGACGGTGGATCTCTCCGTGCATTGCCTGCAAGTCGAGTTGATCAGGTCGGCTGACAATGCTCCGGTGGAGGAGCCGTTCTGGTTTGGGAGGAGGAGGAGGAAGAGGAAGAGGAAGGAAAAGGAGATGGAGGAAACAGAGGAGTGAAACATTTTCTTATTTCCTCTGCCTTTCCTTCCTTAGATGTCTTATTTATTTGTATACATCCTTTGGTGTGTTTGAAACTTTGGAGGAGGAAGCTTCCTAGAAAGGTCATTGATGCATATAATTCCAGCATAACTGCCCATATGTGTCATTTTTGGGATTTGAATGGGAGGGTGCATGCTTGAATATGGTATTTCGGGAAACAACTCAATTATTAGGGCAACATGGCACTTGCGCCCTACTCAACTTGAGAATGTAATTTTGGACAAATTTTAATATAATGGATTTATTTATTTATTTTGTATTAACTTTTTAATTACTTTGAAAATAAATATACGGAAAAGAAGTATTTTTTAATCTCTTTTCTTAAAAACAAGCATTTCGTTAATTGGTTGACTAATTGAGTCAAGTCTTTTTTCTAATCAAGTTCGAGTCGAACTCATACATTCAATTAAGTTTGAGCTTGTTGCGTCTGATTAATTTTAATCCACTTGAACTTGAGATCAATATTGATAGGAACAAAGTTATTTATAAAATTTAAATAATTTAGCTTTCAAAATCAAATTTTGTTCATAATTTTTTTGAACATGATAGTTGGTCCAATCATAAATAGTTGAAGATCAAATAATTTATTAATTGAACGTAATTGAAAAAAAAATAAACTCTAACTAAATTGTTTGATGAGCAAACAAATCTGAACCGTTGATGCACAGTTTAGAGATTTATTTACATCCTAAAATAAAATATTTATCATGTGACTTGAAGGATTTGAAGAAACACGATATCTAAATTCATCATCTTTTAATGTCACACGAGGTGCACAAGAATAGCAACAGAGTCACACCAGATAATTCCCCAAAGAATGCAAAGCCCTTCAACTGATGGCTCACATGACACGTGTCTATTCAATTGCCACCTGGTTTTGCAGTGAAAAAAGACCATCTTAATCGTATCATCCATTCGGGAAGGAAGGAGCTGCAACTTTGTTTGGACGAGGAATTTATTAATTTCTATATTTTGAAAGAGAAGGAGAAAGAAGATTAGAAATTTAGAAGAGGTGTTAAATCTGAGTTTTAATAGATATAATTTCGTATATGTGTGTATATATAATTTCGTATATGTGTGTATATTTTTCGTATATGTCTGTGTGTATATATATATATATTTATCCAAAGTTTTGTTTGGCCATTTTTACCACCGCTACAGCGCGTGAAACGTAAAAACCGGGGGAACAGATTCTCCTGTTCCACTGGAGACGATTTTGGTCCATGTTATGACGGCCAAAAGTCACGACCAACCCAAAAAGATTAAAATTATACATAACACAATCATGTCATGAATTCTTCCAATTAAGGTGGTATCGGTGTTTTTGGAAAATGTTTGCAGTCTTTCTATGACAGAAAGCTTGGTGTTGAGAGAATATATAGTTCTCCTGTGTAGGTGGGGTTGCTGTAATGTGGTGGTGGAAGGGGATTGTCTTCTGATTATGAGGTTGCAGGCTTCTTCAGATATTATGTTGGTGGTACTCAAGGACATCACTTCTTTGCTTCCCAAGTGCATGGGCTCTTCTCTTGTGTGGGTTCGGCGTGACGGAAACTTGGTTGCTCACTAGTTGAGTAAAACGGCTTTAAAGGTCGAATGTGGTGATTTGATGTGAGCATCTGGCCCTGTGATTGGTAAATGTTCTACACATTGATTGTGTTATTTCTTCTCTGGTTGAATGCTAGTTTTCTCGTTGTCGTTTAAAAAAAAAAAAAAAAAATCATAACTATGCAATGCTAGATTAAAATTATCAAAGAACGATAAAAAAATAAAAAAGACAAAAGGATCATCAATCCAAAAGATTACTGCTAATGTTGTGTACATCAATAGAGATTCATTATGAAAAATTATTAAAACTAACAATAGTATTGCATCTCATTATTTTTTTTTTGTAGAGGAATGACTAATTTCTATTCATACCGAAAAACCCATTCGTACGGTTGGTCAACCACTTCTAATGTGTGCAGGAAAAATGGTGACTGAATTGAATTCAATATAAAATTATGTCATCCCAATTGTAGACCTGTAATTATGTGGCTTGAGCACAAATAGCGAAAATGAAAACCTCCCAAAAAATGGCAAGAAACAAATGCACAAATTTCTATCAAAATAGTTACAGCTCAAACGATCTAATCACCTTCGCCTAATTTTCAACATATAATAAGTAACACAGATTTTCAACATTACCATTCAGCGAGAAAAAAAAAAATTGTCAAATGAGTCGTTGAATAAAATTTTCAATTCATTAATTAAATAAGGAGAGCTCACACCATGAGAGAGCTCGCATTACTCAAAAGGAAATCAGCACACTATGAATATCTGCACATAATGTCTAACGCACTCTGTTTTTTCTTTCCATATATGACATCCACGATTCAACTACCATCCATTGCCCAAGAAGGAAGAACCACACAACATAAATCAGCCGCAACATAAATCAGCATCACTGCTTTTTCTTTTTTTCTTTTTTTCATATAAATAGGGTCGGCCACAGAATGTTGGGGCTACTCGTCATTCCCATCCATGCAGTTGGGTGAAACCAGACTCTACACATACAAATCAGCTTTAGAAAAATATAGGGACCGTAATAAATTTTGGTAAATGTATTTCCTTTAGCATTGCAAGATACTAAATTTATTTCAGATCCTGATCCTAAATTTACTTGAAAATACGATTTTAATTGATCAGAGCAAATATATTTGATTTGACGAATGCAATTACCACGGAGTAGTCATTCGTTTCGGTATCACAAGCCTCAACCCACTTGAAACATAGTCAATAGCAACGAGGATGTATTGGAAACCATAAGACATTAGGAATGGTCCCATCAAATCTATGCCCCATACATCGAAGATTTCAACCACGAAGACTGAAGTTAAGGGCATCATGTCTCTCTTTGACATTGATCCCATCTTTTGGCACCGAACACACACCTTGCAAAAATTATAGGCATCTCGGTGAATAGTGGACCAGAAGAGCCCACTTTAAAAAAACCTTCAAAATGGTCTTTTTTCCACTAAAATGCCCACAACAAGCAAGTGTGTGACAAAACACAAGGACGCTCGGAACTTCATTTTCCGGTACACATCTCCTTATGATTTAATCCGGGCAATAACGAAACAGAATGAGATCTTCCCAATAGTATTTCCGGATGTTAGTAAAGAATCGGTCATTTTCTTGTTTTGACCAATTAATGGGAAGTTTGCTGGTTGCAAGATAGTTAACAATGTCAGCAAACCAAGGCAACGTCTCATTTGAGATTTGAAAGAGTTGTTCATCCGGAAATGATTCATGAATTTCAAGATTTGGAGAAGATTCAACCATTAATCTAGATAGATGATCGGTAACGACATTATCGGAGCCCTTTTTGTCTTTGATTTCAAAGTCAAATTCTTGAAGAAGTAGGATCCATCTTATTAAGAGAGGTTTGGTTTCCTTTTTCATTAAAAGATGCCTAAGAGCGGCATGATCGGAAAACATAATTACCTTGGATCATAAGAGATATGACCGAAATTTATCAAGGGCATATACTACGGCAAATAATTCTTTCTCGGTAGTGGAGTAGTTCAATTGGGCACCTGAGAAAGTCTTACACGCATAGTATATAACACATGGTAGCTTACCTACCCTTTGCCCTAAAACCGCACCCATTGCGAAGTCGGAAGCATCACACATAATCTCAAATGGTAAAGACCAATTTGGAGGTTGCATAATGGGAGCGGATGATAGAAGAGTGTGAAGTTGATGAAAAGCATTTAGGCATGCTTCATCAAAGACAAATGGAGTCTCCTTAGAAAGAAGGTTACACAAGGGTCTAGCAATTTTGCTAAAATCTGTGATGAATCGGTGATAAAAACTGGCATGTCCTAAAAAGGAGCGGATTTACTCACCGTAGTAGGTGGAGACAATTCCGAAATCAGCTCAACTTTTGTTTTATCTACTTCTATTCCTCTTTTAGAAATGACATGTCCAAGCAAGATTCCTTCTTGAACCATGAAATGGCTCTTTTCCCAACTTAACACAAGATTGGTCTCACGACATCTTTGAAGCACTTTTTTGAGATTTTGGAGACATGAATCAAATGAGGACCCAAAAACCGAGAAGTCATCCATGAAGACTTCTAAATACTTCTCCACCATGTCCGAAAAATTTGACATCATACACTTTTGGAAAGTGGCAGGAGCATTGTACAATCCAAAAGGCATCCGTCGATAAGCAAATGTACCAAAAGGACATGTGAAAGTAGTCTTTGCTTGATCCAATGGATCTAGGGCCACTTGATTATACCCCGAATAACCATTTAGGAAGTAATAGTATTGTTACCCGGCCAATCTTTCCAAGATTTGGTCAATGAAAGGCAATGGAAAATGGTCCTTCCTAGTAGCAGAATTCAGCTTTCAGTAGTCTATGCAAACACGCCACGAAGTAGCAGTGCATTTCGAGATGAGATCACCCTTAGCATTTTCAACAACTGTGATTCCCGACTTTTTGGGAACCACTTGAGTTGGACTAACCCACTTGGAATCAGATATAGGATAAATGATTTCCGCATCTAGAAGTTTCATAACCTCTTTCATGACAACTTCCTTCATATTTGGGTTCAATCTCGTTTGAGCATCCCTAAATGGCCTTTCATCCTCTTCCATGTGTATGCGATGCATACAAATAGAAGGGTCAATGCCTTTTAGGTCAGCCACACTCCATCCAATAACTTCTTTGTTAGCTTTAAGCACTTCTAAAAGATCATTCTCTTGGTCATTTTCAAGATTTGAAGCAATAATGACCGGAAGAGTCTCTTTTGGGCCTAAGAAGACGTATTTGAGATTGGATGGAAGAGGCTTAAGCTCAAGAGTAGGAGGAGAGATGAGAGAGGGAACTAGTGGAGTACTAGAGAGGGAAGGAAGAGGTTATTTCTTACTTTTCCAAGGTGGAAAATCTAAAGTGGCCACAGAGTCCATCAAAGCATTGACCTCACTTATAGATCCTTCTGTGTCAAAACCACAACTTT